CCGCCTTAAGGCTTCAGGCTTCCCCGAGGCGTTTATCGCGTCTGTTGCGGAGACGATCCTGCGGACTATGAAGGCGGAGCAGAGGACGCGACAGAATCTGATCAACACGGATACAGAACGTGAAAGGATATGCGTGATTCCTTACATACACCAGATATCACATAGGCTCAAAAAAATCGGAAAACGTGTTGGAGTTCGCGTCCTGTTCTCAGCACCGTTCAAATTAATCAGCCTCACCAAATCTACCAACCCCCTTAAAACAAAATCATCAACAGATTGCAGAGTTCAACATCGAAACAGGTATGCAGCCTGCTCCCGAGAAGTCGTCTATAGGACCCCCCCTTTCATGCGGTGCTTGTTACGTCGGAACGACCGGAAGGTGTCTGAACGATCGGCTTAGAGAGCACGCGAACAATGTTAAAAACGGGAAAGATGGTTTTCTTGCCCAGCACTGCACTGAGTGCAAGTGTGTTCCCCTCTTCGAGGAAACAGCGACGTTGTACAAACACAGAGATGTAAGCACCCGGGTCATTGTCGAGGCTGCGCAGATGGCACGCGAACAGGTGCCTTGTGTTAGCAAGCCCTCCGTGGCCTTGTCCGAGAAGGAGCGCAGGTTCCTCGAAGGATTCGGTGCGGGCAGGTAACGCGAACAGGTGCCTTGAATTAGCAAGCCCTCCGTGGCTTAGTCCGAGAAGGAACGCAGGTTCCTCGAAGGATTCGGTGCGGGCAGGTAGCTTTACCTTTCTGGTTCGGTTTCTTCTAGGCATTTCTTTGCTGTTTTTCAGTGCCTTTGTATTTGTGCTGTTTGTTTTTGGTTTTCTTACTCATGTTCTGCTCTTGTGCCATGGTCACTGTCTCCTCTATATATTTTCGTGCTCTGCGCAATAAACTCAGTTGGAAGTTAGCGCTCGTGTCTTTCGTGTCCTTCTTGTCTCTGTGTCGTCGTTTAGTTCTCGCGCTATAACTATCGTCATGCCATACCAACTAGCCCAAGCTGCCACACCCCACAGTGGATCTACTAAACTCTCTCGCCACTCGCGCTATTGCACTTTCTTGTAGAGACGCCTTCGTCGGGGCCAAGTTTTATTTTAAAATGATCAAATACTACATGTTTGCGTACCGCTACACATAAAAAACATTTTGTTGTTCTAACAAGTAGTTTTGCTCAATTATGTGCTGCGTCACCAACTTTTTGTAATAGTTTTTGCTGCAGCTGACTCGATGTCAGTAGCAGCCTATCAACATCACTATGCTCATTTCAAAGTTTTTGGCGGCCAACGGTTGCGACGGCAGGCAACGGCTCGCGGTACGTTCGGAGGTGTCTCTGACTGTTTCGTTTCGCTGTAAATATTTCGAGCCTCTGCCGACCGGCACATTCTTTCTCATTCTGTTTATTTTGACTCGTTCAAATGTGTTCGCGAAGGGAATTCGAGTGACTTTCGGGGAACGAAGCGACCGTTGAAGCTTTCATCGGATGAACACCAGTTGCAAGCTCAGGGCGGTTTGTAAAAACCACTTGAGTTTTTTAAGGATGGTTTCTCGCGGGGCTAGTTGGTTCATTTCAACATATGTAGTTTTTTTTGCCAATGACTGCGTAGGCGTCACACGGTGGCAGCGCATTGCAGTATTAAATTTTAAAATTGTTGAACGTCTCAATCTGTATGCGAAAAAACGTGCGTCACTTGCGGCGTGCATGGCTTCACGTGGGAACGAGTCACTAACTCAATAGTTAATTCTGAAATTCTATCATCAGGTAACACCAACCAGGCCGTTGCGATAAAAGAAGGCAAATAAATCACTATCGCCTCGCATGTGTCTTCTAGTAGAAAGCCTACTAGTTAATAGTTTACTGCAGTCGCGTTTGAGAAACATCACATAATTATGGGTCTGGTTTTGCTATTGTGTGATAAAGGAAGCGTCACATAAATGAGAAATACTTCTTTTTCTGTCACAGCCTCCTGGCCCACCTGACATCGAAGCAAATGTGCAAAAGTGTACAATGGGGAAGGAACCTGCTACATGACATGCATTGTGAAGAAGCAGCCCTGAGTGATATACGTGTTTTGAGGTACCACTACATATATGTATAAAATACTGCTGTTTACTAATTAATTGAGTTTATTTGTTTACTTTGGAAAATTTCATGCATTGATTATGCATTGATATCTGGTGATGTTACTTGTTTTTCCAGACTGCCATGCAATGACAGAATGACAACCCCCGAATGTCCACTCTGTAAGCACGCTGAAACATCTGAATGTCCACTACAACAGGTCATCTCTAACCTCACACATGTAATGCTGTATTTGTGAATGTTTTACCACGCATATCGTGGAGAGGTGCTTTAGATTGGCTACAAGCATTGCCTGCCTACCGTGGCATGGAATCTACACTTCAATAATGTTGGAACTGTAACACTATTAGTTAGATTGTGTGGCACTGCTGAGCTCAACAACACACTGTTTGATCCCAGCCACTGAAGCCATATTTCGATGGCGGTGAAACGCTAAGACGCTTGAGTGCTTAAGGGTTTATTTGATTCGCCTGCACCACACGATCGATTTTACAAAGTGCTGCACCTCGCCATTCATTTCAGTGGCGCAGCAATGGCATCTTCTAAATCGTGCCATTAATTTCAAAAAGCGCAGGACAGGTACAGCACCAAAACTAGTTCATGACTTTCCCATACCTTCTGCCTTGACGGCGCTGGTTTGGTGCAGGCGCATGCACAGCTTAACAAACAACATACCATTCGACGTAGGTACTGTACATACCTGTGCAAATGCGGTGTGTTTTGCCAAGATGTTTGCACCTCATTAAATTAAGCGAACAAAAATAAGGATTCCACCTTGTCGGCACCTTGTCATTCACTTGTGATGCAGCACCGCTGAACTCCTGCCGCACAAGTTTTGAACTTCTCGTGCACAGCTGTGAACCAGTTCGGATTGGTGCAGGTGAACTAAACTGACCCTTAAAAGATGAAAGCTTGAAAATATGAAAAATATGTTAACATAAAGGGTCAAAGCAAATGTTTTGACACGCAGTCTTGTCTTCTGTGAAGCTACAGTGTCATTTGTTTGAACCCATGGAAGCCAGAATCAATCTAAATTTGCCCACTACTGTACGACTCACGTTCACTTCATAGCTGGCACGTGAATCGTCGGATATCATTATTTGCACTACATAATGAACACACTTACAGTGATGGGCATTAACAGGCTTTCCGACATTTAGTTGTGCCTTGTGACAGTTTACTAACAACACCCAGAACTGTTTTGTCTTAATTAACTGTGTTTAGCTCATACAAGTTTACAAAAAGATGCACCAAAGCTCATAAGACCGCACTCAATTGCTTTAGCTTTGCACATATGTTCAATGGGCTCCTAAAATAATAAATCATAAAGGTGATTAGCAGTTGCTGCACAGCTTCCTAAAGGACGTGAATACTGTCATGAAGAGCAAGATTGTGTTCATTGCATGTGGTACTGTTTTTTTTTTTTTTGGCAGAAAAACGTTCCAGATTTCTTTGCGCACATCTGCTTCTGTTTAAATTAAGTTGTCATAACTATAGTGTCTACCACTACGAAGTGAAATTCTGTGCACTACGGTCATGAAAAAAAATCTAGGAAATCCCACAGGTAGTTGAAACATACATGATCTTCACTTATATACAGCCAAACTGCAAGATATATAGTATGTATTTCAAGTCCTAACCTCTAAAAGTAGCAGGGAGAAAACAACTTCATTTTCAAGCACAAGTATACTGAAAATGTAAACATAATGTGTAATAATTGTGACCTTTATTGATCCAGTATTCGGACAGATTCACATCATGTACCTCCAATTGATTTCAGGAGAGCTTGCTTGCAAGAGAGTACTCAAATTCTATGGATATGTCTATGCAAAAAAAAAGAGATGGTACTCAGGGCTGAGCAGATAGTGTGATGTAAGAGTGCCAAAAAAGATGTACAGACAACAAAATTGTACAATGCATACCTGAAGCTTATTTTCTTAGAATTGGGCCTTTTCGATCGTTAAGCACACACCTCATAAGTGTCCCTTTAGCATACATGTTCGCTGCATACTCAGCAGACTGTTCATTATCTGCGACGAGAAATTCTAGCTGTGGTAACTGTGTAACTTAACTCTAACAATAAATGTAGCAAGCCTGAAATATTTTTGGCCCATCACCTGAATACATATTACCTGTGATATGGGCTCACGGCTGAGTATGAAAACTAGTGCCTACCCTCTCGACACAACGCGACATTGCAGAATTGTGAAGTACTCAATGTAGCATTGCAGAGCGAGAATAATTAAGAAATGCACGCATCCGCAATTGCTTATTTAACAAGTTTAGCAAAACTACATTGCTCTAACTGCGCGAGCTATCTATCGGCAATGTGCAAGTTTCCTTCCCGATTCCACATCATGCATTCGCTTCAAGATCAACACTAAGGGGCAAGCGCCGCATCTGACGGCAGAATCGGACCCTTGTCCTGAAGCCACGCTATTAAACTCGAGCGCCGCAACACAATGAGAGCGACGTTCATTCAGCGATTTCGATTTCAGTTATATGCATATGCTTGTTAGCTTTCAAGAGTCTTCACACATGGGTTGAAAGTTTTTGATATGTTTGAGTGACTTGTTTTGTTCGGACCCGACCGTATACATTGATTGTACCGGCTTGAACACTCCCAATAAACGATGCAAACCTTACTTGATTGACGTTGTTTTTGCCAGTCGAGGCCAGCTAGGTCCCCTGGCGATAATTACAGACGCGAAACGCGATTGGGCAACAAAAAAAAAAAAAACAGAGGAAGCGAGCAGCGCGAACCAGCCGCGTGTTCTCCACCTGCAACAAAAAAATGCGTTTGTTTATTGATGATGATAGTACTACTAGCGCCATCTTGCCTCGCGGTATTGCAGTTTAGTACGCCGCCGCTACGTATTTGCATGTTATTTCGATACAACAGCCCAAAGGTACAGTTTCCGTTCTCTAATCTGGTAGGTGTTCTGTTAAGGCTTCCAGGTTTTCTGTGGGCTGCCGTGCTGGAGTGCGCACACGTTGCATGGCGCGTTGTTTAGAGCGTAGCTGTGGATACGTTGTGGCGATATAGGTGTGAGCAGGATGACAGCGCTACTCGAGGACGCCCACGAAGGTTTAGAGCTGCCACAACGAGTGAATCGCGTGGCATATGTGAGGGGACAGTATGCCTACTACCACTACGGATGCGACGGCCTCGATGACAGAGTATGTGCCCAATCGGATACGTAATCGTGCGGCTGATTGACGCAATGACTGACTTTATAACTACCTTGTTACTTTTATAGATATACTTTAAAAGATTAGTGACTCCGTCTTCCAACCGTAGTGTGTCCAGTATCTCCCACAAGTCCTCTTGAACTACACAATCGTACGCTTTCTTGATATCCAGAAATGCTAGCCACAGGGGTCTGTGTTCCTTTTCTGCTATTTCTATGCACTGCGTCAGTGAAAACAGATTGTCTTCCAACCTTCTGTGTTTTCGAAACAAATTCTGCAGTTCCCCCAGCACTACTCGGCTGCTGACCCGCAGGTCGCGGGATCGAATCCCGGCTGTGGCGGCTGCATTTCCGATGAAGGCGGAAATGTTGTAGGCCCGTGTGCTCAGATTTGGGTGCACGTTAAAGAACCCCAGGTGGTCGAAATTTCCAGAGCCGTCCACTACGGCGTCTCTCATAATCGTATGTTAGTTTTGGGACGTTAAACCCCACACATCATCATCATCATTATCATAGATCTCCCAGCACCCCCTCATCCTCTATCCTTGTCTGCAGTCTGTCCTTTTTACATAGTGTTCATGTGATGTAACTTTCACCGTTGTCGCCCTCTCCCGCCATGCCCGGGTACCTCTCTGGGTACCTACGGCAGCTCATGTGCTGCAGCGCGGTTCGTTGGGGGCTGGTCATCTGTTGCTGTGTACAATGTTGAAAGGGAATAATTGTAGTTCTTTTTGTTGTTGTCGTACTTTAACAAGCATCCGCCAGGGCGTCTGCGTAAGCAGGCGTTTTGTGTTTAGCGACACCACGGACCCGAGCAAACGGGGGGGGGGGGGGTCGCAACAGAGAAGGATTGGCCACCCTCGTGCAGTATCTGGCCACTACCTCCCACATGCACATGTCAATTGACTCACGGCCCTCAGTCCCCAGCAGCTGCGAAGCAACTGACCGGGGCGGCGGTCAAATCTGTAACGCAGCCGAGGGTGCTAAGAATCTCTGGATCTGGACAGGCCGCCATTGGAACCTGAACTTGGCAACGTTTAATGCTCGAAGCTTATCTAGTGAGGCAAGTCTAGCTGTACTATTCGAGGAGCTAGAGAGTATCAAATGCGATATAATAGGGCTCAATGAGGTTAGGAGGACAGATGAGGCCTATACGGTGCTACAGAATGGGCACGTCCTTTGCTATCGGGGCTTGGCGGTCAGAAGAGAACTGGGAGTGGGGTTTCTAATTCACAGAAACATAGCTGGCAACATAGAGGCATACTATAGCATTAATGAAAGGGTTGTAGGTATCGCAGTTGAACTCAATAAAAGGTACAAGATGAAGGTTATACAGGCTAACGTGCCTACATCCAGCCATAATGGCGCTTCAGTTGAAAGCTTCTATGAACACATGAAATCGGCAATGAGTAAGGTAAAAACACTGTATACTATACTGATGGAAAACCCGCTTAAAGTCTATTTTGCCCTCCCTGTCGCTAAACCCCAGTGCTTTAAAAAACTGCGCCACCATCCTGAACTGTAGGATGAAGCCCTTTACAGAACATTATCAAGTGTTCGGCAGTTTCATCTTCCTCTCCAGACGCACTGCATACCGTGTCTACCCCTTCGTATTTGGCCCGATATGTCTTGGTTTGCAATACTCCCGTCCTGGCCTCAAACAGTAGAGAACTACCCCAGATATTATCATCGATCCTTTCCTGTGCAATTTCCTGCTTTCGATAGTTCGATATATCTCTAGTGCAGACTTCTTAATCATGCCAATTCTCCACATGTCAGTCTCCCTGTCCTTCATTTTCTTCTTAACTGATAGTTCTTTTTGGTTTGCCCCCTGCTGTTTTCTAAGTATTTACCCAGCAATTTTCTGGTTTGTTTCCTCTATTTTATATCGACATTCTTCATTTACAAGTAGCTGAAAACCTTCCTAGCCTAACGCTCCTCCCCAATTCTCTCAATCGCTTCTCAAATTTTATCTTGCTGCTAGCTTCCCTGCCCTCAAATGATGTCAATCCCATATCACCTTGTGCTCCCTGATTTGGTGTAGTCCCGTGAGCTCCTAAGGCAAGTCTACCTATTCCACGTTGCTTAATTTGTAATCTTCCTTGAACTTCTGATCTCATGCACAAGACCCCATTGTCGAACGTCAGACCAGGAACCATGATCCCTTTGTATATTCCTCACATCATACCTATTGTAATTCCACAGTGCTTTATCTTTCATCACTGCTGCATTCCTGTTAGCTTTAGTCGTTATGTATATTTCGTGTTCCCTTAGGTACTCGGTCTCATTGCTTATCCATACGCCCAGATATTTATATTTATCTGTTATCTCTAGCGTGACCTCTTGTATGCTAAGCTCACTACCTTCATTATCATTAAAAATCATGACTGCTGATTTTTCCTTACTGAATCTGAAATCTAACCTATCTCCCTCATTACTGCAGATCTCCATCAATATACGCAACTCTTTCTTGTTTTCGGCCATTGGCACTATATCATCTGTGAACATCAATGCTGATAATGCCTGTTCAATGAGTTTTTCTTGTTTGACGAAAGAGAGGTTGAAGCCAAGTGCACTTCTCTCTAATTTTGCCTCTAATCCTTGTAAGTACGTCATGAATAACAGTGGTGACATAGGACACCCCTGCCTAAGCCCCTGTTTTACCTCCGTGGGCTTGGATACCTGTTTTTCCCACTTTATATCTACCTTGTTACTTTTACAGATATCCTTTAAAAGATTAGTGACTCTATCTTCCACACCTAGGGTGTCCAGTATTCCCCACAAGTATTCCTAAATCACGCTATCGTACGCTCCTTTGATATCCAAAAGTGCTAGCCTGTGTTCTTTTTCTGCTATTTCGATGCACTGCATCAGTGAGAACAGATTGTCTTTCAACCTCCTGTGTTTCAGAAACCCATTCTGCAGTTCGCCCAGCACACCCTCATCTTCTATTCATGCCTGCAGTCTTTCCTTTATAATCTGCATCGCCAGCCTGTAGACCACTGATGTCACTGTTATAGGACGGTAGTTGGTTATGTCAGCTTTGTCCCCCTTTCCTTTATAGATCATGCTCATCCTGCTAAGTTTCCATCCATCGGGAACTTCACCATCGATTATTATTTCGCTCACTGCCTCTCTCAAAGCCTGCTTAGACTTCGGACCTAATGTCTTTATCAGCCTAATTGGAATGCCATCTGGGCCTGTTGATGTACTACTAGGAACCCTTTTCTCAGCCCTTTCCCACTCTCGTTGTGAAAATGGAGCCATTGCACCACTTGATTCGTCCTTGTCTTCTGTGGTGCATAAGGTACTTCTTTGTTGAAATTTTTCTGTCACCCTTGTTCTTATATATTCAATAGCTTCGTCCCCTTCTAGCATGGCACCTTAAGCTGTAGTTATAAACCTCTTCTCTAGGCTTGTCACATTTTTAAGGAGCACAGCACACAAAAAATAAAAACAAATCAAAAATACCTAAATCACAGCATACAATATCATTGTGTGACCACATACTCCTTTCAAAGGGAAGGAAACGCTGTGGAAGGGGCGGTCACAATGTTTTTTGGAAGGCTGTTCCATTCGTGTATCGTTTTAAGAAAAAAAGTATTTGCATACGTTGATGTTCGGCACATATATTCACACACTTTCAAAGGATGGTCCCGTCGTGATGAGATGTATGTTGGTGGTCTGATGTATTTGTTTTTATCAATCTCAGTTTTGTTATTTATTAGGTTGTAGAAAAGACATAGCCTGATATATTTATGCCTAGAGGAAAGTAACGGCCAACCAAGTGAACTAACAATTTCGCTAGACCTTCTGGTATGTCGTAATCACCCGTCACAAACCGGGCGGCCCGTTTCTGAATGCGCTCCAATGCACCAATATTTAACTTTGCGGCCGGGTCCCAAGCAGTGCAAGCATATTCTAAAATCGGGCGTACATTTGACACGTAAACAACTTGTTTAAGAACAGAGGGGGCAGTTCTGAAATTGCGGCGTAGGAAGTTCAGCACGCGACTGGCTTTAACTGATACCATGTGAACATGATCATTCACACTCATGTTCACATGAGTGTGCTGATCATGTTCACATGATCAGCACACTGATCATGTGAACATGATCAGTGTGCTGTTGATGACAACGCCAAGATACTTGTATTCATTTACCATGGATATTGGTTTCCTTTCCATGAAGTAATTTGTGATAAAAGGCTGCTTTTTTCATGGTAAACCTAATGACACTGCACTTAGACACGTTAAGCTGCATTTTCCACGTACTGCACCATGCTATTACTGAGTCAAGGTCTTTCTGCAATTGTTCGGAATCTTGAGTGCACTTAATTCCACGATATATGCAGCAGTCATCTGTGTACAACCTCACTTGACTGTCCACGCATTCAGCAAGATCATTGATATAGATCAAAAAGAGAAGCGGCCCCAGGACGGAGCCTTGTGGCACTTCTGAAATGACGTCTACATGTGACGACGAAGTGCTATCGATGATGGTGCATTGTTTCCTGCATGAGAGATAAGCTTGTAGCCATGCCAGTGTGTTAGCAGATATATTGAGACACGATAATTTCAGTAAAGGGAGCGAGTGTGTAACAGTGTCAAAAGCCTTGCTAAAGTCTAAAAAAATGCAATCAAATAGGTTACCGGAACTTAACGTTGCGGCAATGTCATGTGTAAATTCTACGAGTTGCGTATTGTAGGAAAACCCTTTCCGGAAACTGGGCTGTGTTGGACAGAAAAAATTTTTAGTCTGAAGATGCTTTGCCAAGTTCGAGTACATAATATGCTCAAGTGTCTTACAGGACACACAGGTTAACCAAATGGGCCGATAGTTACAAGTACTTGACTCGTCACCACTCTTGAAAAAAGGAATTATATTTGCTCGTTTCCAGTCATCAGGTAATGCACCCTGCGATAAAGAATTTCTGAACACAGCTGTAAGAAATGGGCTTATTGAAAAGGCACAGTTCTTTAAAATGAAG